AAAAATGGTGAGGTGCTGTCCCCCAGCTCATCAGATGGCGAGTATTTCACCAGGAGGAGCACCCCCCTCAGCCATGTGGGGGAGCCCAGAACTGGTTGTGGAATCTAGGAAGCAGGAGCCACCCTCCTCGCCCCCTCCCTGCCCTTGAGCCAGCAGCTGCATGTCCACACGCCATCTGGATGCTGGCCCACCTCCCTTCTCAGCAGCCCACCCCCAGTGGAACTTGTTTCTCTGCACAGAGGAAAGAAAAAGCCCATGCAGCTCCCAGGACGAGAAGAGGGGCTGCTCAAGTGAGTGGAGGTCAGGACCAGCCGCCTTGGGGCCCATGTCAGGAAGAGCCCGGAAAGGACACCTCGCCTACATCCTTCAGCTGTCCTTGTCCCCGCAGAGGTGACATGTACAGACCTCACAGCTCCCTTGTAAGTCAGCAGCGGCCAAGATGAGAATGGCTACAGAGATGGGCACACACCTACTCTTCCCAGCTGGCCAGGCTGGGATGGTCTACCGCCCAGAGAGCTCCCAGCAGGGAGACAGGAGCAGGCATCACACCTGAACTGGGGAATGGGAGCCAGAAATGATTCAGATGAGGTCCCTCTACGAGCCATTTCTGCAGACACTGCGGTGGGGGGGGGGGGGGTGTCCTGAGAGAAGCCAATGGCCGGTGCGCCACGCCCCAGGGCTGAGTGGGGAACTGACCCAGAGGGAAAGCCCCTCTGATAGCAGGGCTCTGCTCATGGGCTAGGTCCCCGGCCACAGGCTGCAGGTTGGTCAGGCAGACCCCGCAGCTCCTCCATGACTCCCTCCCCCAGGGACCACAGCCTCCTGGCAAGACCTGACCCCAGGATCACCATGTGGGGGGGACACCATAGGCGCCAGAGTCCAGCAACCTCAGCAGGGTTGGACGTCCACATGTTTGTGCCCAGGTCTCGGGCAAGCACCTGGCTGTCCTCTTTGTTAAAAAATGTATTTTTTAATTGATTTCAGAGAAGAAGGGATAGAAACATCAACGATGAGAGAGAATCATGGATCGGCTGCCTCCTGCCCACTGGGGATCAAGCCTGCAACCCATCTGGCTGTCCTCTTGTATGATGGCTCTGGAACCTCCTGAGAACTCCAGCCTGGGACCAAGCCCGGGAAGTAGGCCCTGCATTCAGGCTCATCTGCGAAGACCTGACTGCACCCACCTCCTGCCGGTGCAGTGCTCACCAGGTGAGGGTGCCTCCAAGCCGTTGCAGGATTATGCACCTGGACGGGACCAGTGGGGACCTGACTACTGCAGGGACAGCAGAGGCAGACCCCCTGCTGGGAGACTGCCCACTGCCCTGACTCCGAGGGAGGGAGGGACACCCAGGTGCACACTTAGTGAGGCCCCTGCACACCTACATGCTCTTCATCCACTTAACAAGTATTTCTGAGTCCCTCAGAGGGACAAGCCACACGTGCCACTAAGGTCAGGGCAAGCCTGCTGGGGGTGAGACCCTGATGGGCAGAGAGGGTAACAGGTTCCTGCATTCTGCCAGGAACCCGGCTGGAACTGAGTGGGATAGAGCAGTTGCCTCTTGACAGCAGGCAAAAGGTACCCTCCTGCCTCATGCCACTGGGCCTCAGCTCCCTGTGCCTTGATTTCCTCACCGATGGCTGGAGAATTAAGACATGTTCATTCAATAAATGTGGGCAGTTATCTCCATCTACCATCATCATCACCACCACCAGCTCCATCACTCTTACTGGATGGGGACCTATTTTCAGTTATTTGCAGACCTACTGGAACTGTGGCCATCCAGGGGTCATTCAGAAGACCCATGTGCTCTTAAGGTGACCGCATGCTGCAGACACAGGAAAGGCATAGGAGAGTTTATGAAGTGTGGGTGCTCAGTAACAGCTGGCTGGGTGTGTGATATTGGGTCCCCAACCCCACATGAGGACAGTGCTCCCTAAGCCATAAAGGCCCGTAGCCATCAGCATCCAAGAAGCCCCAGACCCAGCTGACACTTGGGCAGCCCACAATCCTCCAAAATGTCAGGGAAACCAGTCTTGGCACCCCAATCACATCACCCCAACCACTCCACACCAGAGCTGTGCAGAAACCCTACAGGCAAGCCATTCTGCTTCCTGTTAGAAAGCAGTTTCCCTTCATCCAGACCCTCTTCTTGGGCCCTTCCCAGAAAATAAAGATGAACTCTGAGAAGAAACAGTCTACTGGGTGTTCTTTTAGTGCAAAAATTTCACCATGTGACTCACCCACAGATTTGTTACAGTAAAACTGTGGTGCAGGATAGCTGTTCAAATGCCTTTCCTAACATGTTGCTTTTGAAAAAATAATTCAACTCACAAATCGTAAAAGCAACTGCAGGCTGCAGAGAAGGGATTGTGTGGGGTAGGGGGCCCATGCATGGATGGCTAAGGGAGGGCGGGGCAGAGGAGGACTCATGCAGAGGAGGTACAGGGAGCGCATGCAGGGAGAGCAGGAGTAAGTCAGGGCACTTGCTGCTGTAAATCCAAACTGCTGCTGGCCCGGGCTTACTGTCAGTCACAGAGAGGACCAGACAAGAGCCACGCCAGCAAGTGCCCTGCCTCCATCCTATCAGAGTAAAAGCTCAATCTTGGATGGCAAGAAACCCGAGGGATAGGATCCTGGCTGAAAAGCCAGCCGCTGAGCCAGGTCCTTCCCATGGTTCCCTGCCACAGGCACAGGGGCCCGTGACACACCAAACAGCCTGCGACAATGCTATCTGTGCACTTACCATCAGACTCTGCGAGGACACTCCTGAGCCAGAGGGACCAGAACACTTGTGGTGGGACTGACAGTCCTTGCAGGGCGGGCTTTGGGTGGAACACGGGAAGGGCCAACCCAGTTGCTTTGGAGGGATACGCTACTAGCAGCATCCGATGCACATGAACATGACTCCCGTCCCACCCTCCCCAGTGCCAGGAATGCAAGCAAGGCAGCTCCAAGTGTCTGGAGGAAGCCTTCAGAGCAGGTGACTTCCAGTCAGTAACTGATCCTGTCAGGCGGAGGTGTCGTGCTCCCGGGCACCAGCCAGGCTCCTCCCATGCCCATCCCAGGAGCCCCCATCACACTGAGGGCCACATCATGGCAACTGTAGCACCCCCAGCGCTCACTTCCCGTCAGAGACCACGTCACATTCACTGACCAAACGAAAACGGCAGGCGTGAGGGGACCGGCACTCCAGGCCTAACACTCTTGCCAAATTAAAGCCAGAGAAGCAACTTTGAGCCAAGGCGAAGCTGCATGTCTCCTGGCAGATCAGGCCTCAGGCGGGGCACAGCCTCTCCGAGCTGGGTCTCCTGTCCTCTTCTACCCAGGACTGGCACTGCCTGGGCGAGGGGGAGGTTCTGTGGGATGACACTGACGCTCTGCCTTTGGCAAGCTTGTCAAGGCTGTAACCCAGGGGAAACCCAGCGAACTCCACTGCACACAAGTTCTGTAGAGGCACGCCTGCAGCTGAACAGGAGGGAGAGGGGGAGACCACCTTTCAGCAGCCGAGTGCTGGGGGCGGCAGTGGCCCCGGCCTCTCAGCGTAATCCCTACACTTCTGCTGCTGGTCCCAGAAGCTCCAGCAAAATGTAGGCAACTGTCCGTCGAGTCAGAACTGGGTCTTTCAAGTTCCTCTCCGTTCAGCAGACTAACAAGGGTGATGGAGGACTTAGGGGGTCATCAGCTCCCTGACAGACCTGTAGGCTTTAGGGCAGTGGGTGACCCTTTAATGGCTTTGCAGCTAAAAGCCCGTAAAGCAAAGCGGGTGAAGAATGAGAGGACACTGGCCGTGCTAATAGGATTGTTTATTAAGGCTTGTACTTTCCTCAAGGTAAGTGTCCCATGTTGTCATGACTCCATCCAGGTGGTAACAGTTCAGAAGGGACACAGTCTAAACACAAGTCTAAATAATACAACCTACCTACACTTGAACTCAGAGGGCCATTAGGAGTAAATAGTTTTTAGGAGGATCTGCTCTCTACACGGCAAGTCCTCTAGGGGGCACGTGTAGATGCGTGTGCGAGCGAGCGTGGCGGGCACGAGCACCATTTCCATGCTTCAACTCCAGGTGACAGTGAGTGCAACAGCCCTCGTTCCACAAAACAGGACCAAAAATTCGGTGTCTAAAGTTTTTCTTTTTAAAAACCAATTGACAGGAAAAAGAAATGTAGATACGTGGTGAGATTTACAGCGGGCAGCACCATCCATGCCAGTCTGCCACCAGAGCAGAGCAAGCAGCTCAGCATTACTGGTATAAAAACGTAAAATGGCATCAGGATTCTCAAGAGAAGGTGGAGTTCAGAATGAACTGCACACACTGAGAGTGCCTGGACGCGGGACCTAACCTCCACACGTCGGTGCTGGACACCCTGCCGCACAGTGCTGTTCCGGTGCGGGGCTGCAGAGGGGGGAGGCCCAAGGAAACACAGCCGTTACCAAATCTGGAAAACTAAAATTTATCTTTCTCTAGCAAAAAATCAGATGGCAGACAGGTAGCTGATCATAAAATGGCAAACCAGCCCAGCCAGGTGACTGCTCACTTGCACTTGGAAGGGAGTAGTTAACACATACACTACATGACAAAACATCTCATGGTTCTATACGTTCACAACGAGGCAACAGGGGTGAGAAATAATAGTAAAGAAAGATGTTAGATGACTTTGAATATAAGAACAAGCACATTTCTGCCAAAAAAAAAAAATTCTTTGGGGTGCATTAGGTGTGTTTTTTTAAAAGATAATTATATTTTGCATTAGGTCAATCTGATTGATAAGCTGACAAAAACATTCTTCTTTATTAGTGAGTTCTACAATACTATAATACACAGAAAAAATACACGAGTGAAGAGCCACCTGGGCAAAAACAAACGACAGAGAACGCAGAGGCAGCACAGGGCCTGCACAGGAAGACGGCTGGGCTGACCCAGGCACAGCACCAAGCACATGTTCTGAAACTCGGCTTTTCAATCGAACATTAGATCATAACAGAAACTGGCTTATCCTTATTGTCTGTTCCGATTCTGCCGTTCCTACAAAAAAAAAAAAAAGAGGAAACAAGTTTAACACTTAGGGTGAACATGTGCACAAACTCCCTCAAAGCTGAGTCCCAGGCTGCCCCAGGGACTGCAGCCACAGATCTGGACCCGAGCTCCACTGGGACCGGCCACAACAGGCCAGCATTGAATACTCCCCTCCGCCAGCAGCTCCAGGCTTCAGGGTCCTGGCTGTGCAGACCATGCCTGCCAACCACCTGTTCCAGGCAGAGCCATCTGGTTGGTGTCCTATGGGGGAGCCTCCCCACTCGCTGGGTCCCAGCAGCAGGGTTCTTCATAAGGCTATGACTATGCTTAGTGGAGATGTAGGGATGTGCCCAAGGAGGAGCACCTGTCCCCGCACCCAGTGCAGCCCTGCTTGCCCACTTCATCCTGCCCCATCTGGTAGTCAGGACAAAGCTCTGAAGGACACCTGATATGGGAGCTGGTCGTGACAGAGTCCCTAACAGACGGGTTACTAGACAATGAAAGGGTTATGAAACAAGAGGAATCTTACTAGATACTGAAAGGGTTACAAAACAAGATGAACTCCTTTTGCTAAAAATGAACTGAATGTGTCTTCAGGTTAACAACACACCCCAATTCTCTCCCCACACCCACCTTATCACCCAGGACAGGGAGCCCCGCTACTTTCCAATGAGCAACTGGCCCTGAAAGAGGCACCACTCTAGCCCCAGCACCTCCTCCCTGTCCTGACTTGGAACCTGAGTGTCCCTGGTCCTCTTAACAAGAACCACCATCCTATACCACTCCCGGCTCGCCTCGTGCTCCGAAAGCCCTGGTGTTTCTGTGGCTGCTGGCTGTGATGGGAGGAGCCAGGCCCTGGAGGCTGTCCTTGCCGGAGCTCTTCAGCAGCAAAGCTCTTCAGCGGCAGGCTCTCCAGGGGCTGACACTCACCTCCAGGACCAGGTGTGACGCAGTTCCTGAAGGCACCAGTGAGTCTCCAAATTTTAGCTTAAATGAGACGGCATAGCAGCCACCTGCAACTTACTGGCAAAAGACACCTCTGTGCCTAGTTGTCTGAGAGCCTGGCAGCCCAAGCACAAGCCTCCAAACGCCTCTCAGTCCGTCTGTTCTTCAGAGCCCAGCTGACCGCCAGGGAACCAAGAGTGCCCTGTGGGAGGTGCTAGGGAGCAGGCAAGAACCACCCAGTCTAAGGCACAGTGAGCATGAATGGTAACCAGTCAGCCCCGCCCTGTCCCTCCCATCCTGTAAGTTAGAGTGGCGCTGACACCGGGAGCCGGGGAGCCAGGGAGCCAGGTCTGGGAGGCCCCGCCAGAGCATTCCAAGGATGTCCAGGGAAGCAAAAGAAGCCACATTTGTGTTCCAGTGGGATTGCAAAGGCCTGTCGGGCTGGCTGGGGGAAGGGCTCAACGGCCTGGTCTGACTGCAGGCTTCACCCAACTCACTGACAGACAGCTGAGGGTTTAGCTGCTACACTGCAAGTTTTAAGGCACTAGAACTTTCTAAACACCATACCTCAGCTTATCCTCACTTTCAGAACCTCGTGAGCTTTAAGGAAATCATCATAGTATTTAAGATGAACTGCACACATAGCAAGAACAAGCTGCAAGCTATCTAAGGCCCTCAAATTGCATAACCAATGAGCTCTCTGTTCTATCCCTGTGAGTTCAGCCATTTTATTTAATTAGGTATTTTACGCTGTACCTAAAAGAGCTAAAACACAGCATTTCAGTAACTGGAAGTAAATGACAAGCCTTTCTATCTTCTGCACAGGAGTCAATGAGAGACTGTTTTCCAAGCATGCTCACGAGCTGTCACCCTAGGGTAAACTGTCACCACCGAGGACGAAGGTCCAACTGCTGCCTTTCTGCTAACTGCTTTGGAACATTTGAAGCTCACAGGTGGGTGATGCTTTAACATGGACAACCAAAAAAATATTGAAAATGTACCGATTACCAACTGACATTTCAAGAAAGAAAGGTCATTTGAAAAACAAAGACATAGGAGAGAATCTCGGGACTAAGTCCGCCTCACAATGTTCCACTGCCCTTGTGCACCCACTTTGGAGCCAGCCTGTGGGCTCCTGTGTGCTCTCTCCAAAGTGAGCTCCACTGCAGCAGGCTCCACGCGTCTCTGCATAAGGGGAAGCTGGACCCCCAGAGACCTAACTCCTGGCCTACTGGTTTGGGCTGTTCGAACCCGTCTAAACCCAGCCCGCGTTCCCGCCATTCTCTCATCATCCAGAGAGCCGGGTCAACTTTCCAAAAGTTGCAGAGATAGTGGGTTTTTGAGAAAAAATAAACAGCAACCTGCAGATCAGTGTCCTTCCCTCAGTGAGTGGGGCCTCGCAGCCAGCAACCTCGCTTTGGCCCCACTGCCCAAGAACAGTGTGTCCCTGACTTGACAAAGACTAGGACACACCATTCGTTCTAGAAAGACCATGACTCAGAGAGGAAAAGTGAGTCACCCACAAGTCCTTCCCAGCAGAACTGTGCACTGTGGTCCCAATCACTGTTTCTTAAAAACTGAAAAAGGATCAAAAGTTCCGTCTGGCCATCATCCACTGTAACATCACGAGGCTTTACACCAGGGAGGCAAGGGCCCTGGACCCCGACTCACCCAACTCACCTTGCGCACCACCTCCTCCTCTTCCTGGCGCTTCTCGTAGTGAGAAAAGTCATCGAAGATGGACGTGGTGTGCTTGTACGAGGCGATGATTTTCAGCACTTGCTTTGCTTTTTCTAAGGGCACCTCCTGGGTGTCGCGGGAGTTTGTGACCGGCTTGTTGTCATTGTTCTCCAGCCGGATGTGCCGTAGCTGGTTATTGGGCACGTCCTTGACAAAAATCCACTTCACGTCGAACTTGCCCTTCCACTTGTCCTGAGACCAGACCCCAGCGCTTGTGCCGTAGTCCACGGGCGACTTCATCTCTGCCACTCCGCAGAAGTGGCCGCTGCCGTTGACACTGAAGAGCAGGTAGACAGGCCCCTTGCTGCTGACGGAGCGGAAGGCGCCGTCCAGGCGCTTGTTACCATGCTCGGTGCTGCACCAGATGGAGTACTTGATGGAGCGGTGCACATCATCCTCCGAGTAGCTCTTTATTATGAACACGCGGCCGCTCCGCAGGTTCCAGTCAAACTCCTTAGGGTTGTAGCTGTGGGCAGCCTTCAGTTTTTCAAGGACTGGATGGGATTCTGCGCTTGGGGCAGAACTAGGCTGGATGCTTCCAGGGGAGTGACTGTTACCCCCAGTCCCCGAGCTCTGCCCAAACGCTGCATTCCTGTTGCGGGGAGCGACCCAGCGGGGTTGGGGCAGTGGCTGAGGGCTCTGATACTGTGGCTGGGCCAAAGGTGGGGGCTGAACTGACAGAGGCTGCACAACCGGTTGAGGCTGGGGGGCAGATTGGGGAGCCGGCACCTGCTGGGGGGCCGGGGCTTTGGGCACGGGCCCCTTGTTATCCCAGGTGCCAATGTCCATGTTATGCTTTATAGGCGGAGGGGGCAACGCGGCCCCAATGACAGGTCCACCCTTGGCTTTCATTTTCGGCTGCGGCTTCGCCGGCTTGCTGGCGATGGCAGCCCATGAAGTCGGCTTCGAAACCGGCATGTTTACATTTGTCCCGCCATTGCCAGAAAGCACGCCAGTCATTGCCGCACTGCTGACGACTGAGCCCACTGTCTTGACTGCAGAGGTGGTGACATCGCCGATCTTCAGGCCCACCATGCCCTGCTCCAGGCTGTTCATCCCAGGGGCCTTGTTGAGGGTGTCGCTGTGAAAGCCCGTCTGCCCGTCCACAATCGTGCCGCCCAGAGAGCTGGGTGGGTAAGTGTAGCTGCTCCCATAAGCGGAACTCTGGGCCTGCTGCCCCTGAGACCCACTGGTCCCCCAGGCCGAGAAGGCTGGGTTTTCGGGGAAAAAGTTAAACCTGTGTTGATAGATGTTGTTTCCCAGGCCTCCAGGCTGTCCGAACACTGCGTCATGCATGAAGTGATGATCGCCATTGCTGAGCTGTCCATAGGTGGTAAGGTACGGGATGGGAGGATCCCCTCCGGTTGACCACGGCGCCTCATTAAGGGAGTAAGGGAATCCAATGGACGGCGGGTAATAGCTGGACAGGTAGGGATCGGCCATGGAGGGGTAACTGTTACTCTGCGGAAACAACAGGGGATGATGAGTTAAAACTATTCTCAGGGCTGGAGGAGACAGAAAATGCCAACGGTGGGAATGAGACTTCAAAGTACTGGCTAACCATCAGGACACAGCAGGTTCACTCAACAAGCTATATGAAATAAGTCATCCTGAGCAGAAAGAAACCTGGAGATGCCAACCCCATGTGAAATATGGAAGAGCTGCGGTTAGACTGCCATCCACACCACAGCTTCCAGCCTTGCCTGTGAAGGAGGTAGTTCCTAACTTAAGAGAACTGACACTGTCCTAAATTCCCGTATGCACATGAAGTGGACTGCAATCCACCAAATGAAAACGCAGACATGGAGGGCTCATAGCTGACATCCTCCCTGTCCCCTGAGCATGAGCTCCGCACACAGTATGTGACAAGAGGTGCTCCAGCCCAAACCCGCCTCCGCTTAGCCTCTGTACAGTCAACAAACCATCCCTTGATCAACTGTACGCCTGAGGTTGTGACCTGGAGTCCACTCATCGGGGACCTGGTGCATAAACCAAAGGAGAACAAATTCTCAGTGCACGACCCCGTGAGCAGGCATCTTCTTCTAGGAAATAAAACCACCACCACACCTGGCACTCTCCCAGAAGGGACTGTCACTCAGGCCACACCCACTGACAGTGGTCAAGGCAAAACCAGCCTCCAGACATAGAGAAGGAGCCCAGGCACTGAACTCAGCAGCAGGGCATCTGGTGACTAAGTCAATATTGTAAACAAATGGATACGCCAAAGAAACAAATTTCAGCTGAGACCGGTTTGGCTCAGTGGTAGAGCTGAAAGGTCCCAGATTCGAGTCCAATCAGAGGCATGTACCTTGGTTGCGGGCACATCCCCGGGGGGGGGGGGGGGGGGGTGCAGGAGGCAGCTGATCGATGTCTCTCTCTCATTGATGTTTCTAACTCTATCCCTCTACCTTCCTCTCTGTAAAAAAATCAATTAAAAAAATACATACATACATATATATATATATATATATATTTAAATTTCAAATAGTCAATGACTATCTTTGGGTTGTTTTCTTTGGGAAAGCAGTAAAACACAACAAAGCTTTAAATCTATTCTAGAATTAAAAGTTTTTCAGCCTGGCCTGCATAGCTCAGTGGTTGAGCATATTATCTACGAACCAGGAGGTCACGGTTCGATTCCCGGACAGGGACACATTCCCTGCCTGGGTTGCCAGCACAATCCCCAGTGTGGGGATACAGGAGGCAGCTGACCAATGATTCTCTCATCATTAATATTTCTCTCTCTCTCTCCCCATCTCCCTTCCTCTGAAATCATTAAAAATATTTTTCAAGTTTTTCATATTTACAAAATTTTAACCACATTAAAAAACAACAACACCCCCCTCATTCTGAACAACCAGGTAAATTTATTTTAAAGTTGAAGTATCTGCTTCCTACGTCCTTTTTTCTGAGAAGGAATTCTGATATGACTCAAATGCTTCACATCCTTCACATATGCTGAGAACCGTTTATTTTAAAAGGAAACAAAAGAAACTTGAATAAATTATGTAAAAAGAAAAGCATCAAGGGCAATTTTGAAAACAGTGACCAAGTGAGCTCTGCCCATCCCTGAGCTCAGGGCTGTGACTTCAGCCTTCAGGTCAAATTGAGTTCACATGGAGGTGGCAGCTTGACAGCCACAGTTTCTGCATTTACTTCCTGCCCGGAGAAGGTTTGAGCAACTTGACAATGAAGGTTAATCCCTCTGGATCCTGCCAGCTGTGCTCAGGATGACCAGCCTCTGCTACAAGGCCCCACCCAGGGCAATGGTCCCACTGCCAAGGCTCCTGACCACAGGCAGGCCTTGAAATGTTCTCCATGTCACCCAGTGCAAGGCTTTACAAGATAAAAAGCTCAGTAGCCTCTGCCCGGCCACAGCAAACATCTGGGTTAAAAGAAAAGCACCATGGGGTAGGTATGCATGTGCACAAGGGAAAGTCCTCATAAAACTGCACCTGCGCAGCTTGTCATGCGTCAACACTACCTCAGCTCACCGGGCGCAGCCACAGGGACTGAGCTTACTGTTTCCACCACATCAGCCACACCAATCTCTGTCCCTCCCTCACCAGAACCTGTGGCTGGACACCCAGCACTTGCTCAGTGAGAATTGGGGACCAGGATGCAAAGAGCACTTTCCTAACGGGAGTCTGTCTGCCAAAGAAAGTGACCAGATACAGGGACCAAGGAGAGGGCCTGGCTCTGCACTGCCAAGCTCTGCCACCTCTGCTCTCTGGTTTCTCCATCTGCAAGACCAACAGCGCTCCCCTCCCTTGTCCCTGCTCCCTAGCATCCACAACAGCTGGTTTTTCTGTAAAAACCAGAGCCTGGATTTACTGTGAAGCAAAGGCTGAGAAATGCATCTCTTGGCAATCGGGACAAAGGGGCCATTTTCAGGCTGTTCACATGGAGTTCCAACTACGAGAGTCTTTCCACACGCCTTCCCCAGCGACACAGTCCTGTGACCACTCCACTGACACCAGAAACCTAGTCCATTTTATTTTATTTTATTTTATTTTATTTATTTTAATATATTGTATTGGTTTTTTTACAGAGAGGAAGGGAGAGAGATAGAGAGCTATAATAGAAACGTCGATGAGAGAGAAACATCGACCAGCTGTCTCTTGCACACCCCCTACTGGGGGTGTGCCCACAACCAATGTACATGCCCTTGACTGGAATCAAACCCGGGACCTTTCAGTCCACAGACCGACGCTCTACCACTGAGCCAAACCGGCTTCGGCAAACCTAGTCCATTTTAAAACAAATCCTGAAGTAACAGGAAAGCTCCACTTCATAGAAATAAATTTCAAGTGTAGTGAGGCAACCCCTCCTTTTGGTTAAAATTACCACACAATAGTTGCATAGTATTTAAATCACCTAAAAAAAATGAAGAAGATAAGCCCATTAACTTCTCGCTTTCACCACTGGAGGAAGCCCTGGTCCTCCGGAGGCAGGGCAGGTTCTCGGGCCCAGCTGCCACCTGTAGGGCAGTAGGAGGGTGGAGGGTGAGGAGCTCTCAGACACTTTATAGAAGGCAGACTGGCTCTAGTTCACCACAGGGAAGAGGCAAAGGTGCTTTTACTCTAAAGCAAATGAGCACAGTGCGTTTTTAAAAGTGGGAGATATTATATTTATATATTAAACCTTAACTCAAGTGGCTTTAACCAGGGCAATTTACCCCCAGGAGACACTTGGGTGTCACGCTGGTGGTGGCAGTTGAGGTGGTTACTAATGGCATCTCATGAATGCTGGGGAGGCTGCTAAACACCCTACAACACACAACACAAATTTCAGTCCAAAATGTCCACAGTGCCAAGGCCGGGAAACCTGAAAACCCTAAGCACCCTGGGCCCTGCATCGACCCCATCTCCGAGCTCTCTGCACGCTCTTGTCACCCATCACTTCTGTGAGGCACTCACCACTGTCCACTTATAGAAAAGGAAGTGGCAGGCGGCAAGCCACTTGAGGGAGCAGCAGTCAGTGGTGGGGCTGAGATTCTGACCCAAGGAAGGAGTGGGCCCCAAAGCAGGGCTCCTAGCTACTCTCCTGCCCATCATCTGAGAACATCAGAGCACTTCTCACGCCTCCAACTGGTCCAAGGCAGCACATGGCTGACCACCAACGCCGAGGCCAACTACAAGTCAGCTCATGCCAGCCCAGCGGGACTGCATTTCCTCAGAGACATCTAGCTTTGTTGCACTCACCCATTTTCAACCCCAAGCTCGTCCTCATTAGCAGTTTTTCTATTATTTCTAGTACTCTACAGTCTGCTTCTTTGTCATTTAAAGTAATAAATTCAACAATATAGCAGTGAAGGGAGATCACACAACACAGTCAAAACTAATGTAGAAATACGTGCTAAAAAAGATAAACTCACCTGATTTGACTGTCCAGAAAGGTAGGGCTCAAAGTCATTGTCATGAACTGTATCCTTCTGATGCAAAGAACCATTTTGTACTAGAATAGAGAAACAAATGTTTGCATTTTTTAAAATTACTTTTAAGTATGGAAATTAAAGGTAGTAAAGACTATGCACATCAATTTCTGGCAGAAATTGCATTTACTTAGCAATGGGCATAAATAGCATGGAACTAATATTTATACAACTAATTAGAACTTTCAGTCACTGAGGTTATGCTTTCTGGATAAAGATTTCGTCCTTATTTGATAGATGTGGACAAACCAGAGGTGCAGACAAAATAGCGCAAGCACCCTAGAGCCATGTTTTAATAAAGATAAAGTGGTCTAAGACTTAAGTCAAGCCCAACAGCCTGCACAGAGGTGAGGACCAGGCCCTGGTGAGCATAGTTGCAGCTGGGAAACAGACTGTCTGAAAGATGTTTCTCAGCTTATTACCTGGCTCTCTTCTATTTCCCACAGCCATACGGCTCAACCAGAAAAGTAAAGAAAATGTAAATAAAGTGCTGGGCCTTTTCCAGCTGAAAACACGATGAACCATATTTGGTTACACCTGAGTCACACACACACACACACACACACACACACACACACTGGTTAAAAACAGTCTTCCTAGTAGACTTACAGGTTCTCACAGTTACCTCTGGGGGTTTGCCCCAGGCCAGAACATCGGGAGAGCAGCAGGGGCTTAGGAGACAAGGACTGTAAGTGCCCTCCGCCCAGTGCCAGCCCCTTACACATGGGCCAGGCTCAGTCATCCAGCCCCTCGGCCTCCTTCCGGCCCCTCTCCCCCGTCCAAAACACCTTGCGGTTCCTCTCCCCACCCACGAAAAGTCCCCGTTCCCAACCTGTCCAATCTCCCCCAATCCCACAGTCTAAACAGTCTTATTCCCTGAAGCTGAGGAAGTTCCCGCCTCTCGATGCGGCTTCCTAGCCCCGCTTCTCCCACATGGTCCTCACTCCGCGACTTCCCGCTCCCGCCAGCACTCGGGCGCCCGCCCAGCCCCCTCCGCTCACCTTTATTGTCTTGTCCTTTGCTTCTCTGCACCGCCGCAGGCCGGGACGTACCAGCGGACAAACCCGAAGGAAAGGGAAACAAAAGTTATTTACCAGAACCGCTCGCGGGCGGGGCGCGCTCCGGGGCGAACGGAATCCGCGGTCACACGCGACTCTGCCAGGGGCCCCGACCACAGACCCCGTTCCCGCGACCCCGGACCCTGCCCCCGAGACCCCAGCCCCCAACTCCGCGACCCAGCCCGGCCCGCTACCTGGGGGTCCACGCTGGTGGCCGACATGCTTCATGAACAGCCGGCGCGGGGCGGGAGCGCCCGCCGCCTCGGCCTCCCGGGAGGCCGGGCCTGTCACCCGCACTCTCGCGGCCCCGGGCCCGCCGCCCCCTCCCCGGGCGGCGGCGGCTGATGGGCGCGCGGGCCGCTCGCGGGATACGACGCAGCGCGGTAAGCAGGGACGGAACACACAGACGTGGAGATGATTCCAATGGCGGCGTCGGTGGCAGCGACCGCGACGGCGCGGACGAGGCTGCGCGACGTCAGCGCGCGCGAGGCAGGCCGGGACGCCGACGAGCCGCCACGCGCCGCGCCTGCGCACCGCAGCCTGGCGGGAGGGATCTGGCGCCCGGGTCCTAGCCTCGCGCTAAATCGGCAGGGCCCGGGGCGGGGCGCCGCCCGGAAGTCACTTGGGCTGCGGCGGGCAGCGCTGCTCCTCGGAGGCTCGCGCCGGTGCACGTCGCGGCCCCGGTGGCTCCCGGGCTTATCCCGGAGACGTGAAGAGTGCGGCCACCGACTGAAAGCCACTTCCACAAGCTGGAGGCTAGGCCGCCCCGCAATTCGCTCCAAACGCTCCGCCAGGAGAAGGGCCAGGTGTGAGCGCTGAGGTCTCGGGCTTTCGTCCTGGGCTTCCTGAGGTTTGGGCGGCCTCGCCTTCTGGGCAGCTGGGCCCCAGCAGTCCGGGGCCCCGCGTCCCTGAGGTCGCTGCTCTCCGGGCTCCCCAGTTGACAGTCAGTCTGCATGGTAGGTTCTTGACCTGCAGTTGGGCTCCAGGGGAGGATCCTTCCTGCCTCTTTCAGCTACTGGTGGCCCCAGGCGTCTTTGGTGTTCCTCTGCTCTCGGCTCCTGGGTCACACGGCCTTTTTCCTTCTCAGCAGGTCTTCGGGTTACGTAGGAGATCCATTCCTATGGCGTGACATAACTGATTTTCGATTTTCGCTGTAAGTCGGAATCCACCTGCGTGAGCACCTCCGTCACTCACAGGGAGCACAGACACAGTAATGAAGTGACACAGTAAAAAAAATTTAAAAGGAAGATAATTCCTGACCTTTACTTGTGGTAAATAAAAAAAAACACACACACAAACGTAAAACACACATGTACATATGTCGAAATAACAATGTTTTTTGTATAAATATTGTAAATGGGAGATGGCGACATAACCACAAAATGACATTTGTCGAGTCCAGTGTAACTCGAGGACTGCCTGTATTGGGTTTAGGGTCCACCCTAATCCAATATGACCTCTTTAAACATCATTCTATCTGCAGAGACCCTAATTTCAAATAAGGTCCCATTCACAGGTACACAACTTTGGGGACATTATTAGCCCAAAACAAGGATCACAAGTGATGTAAAATGGAAAATTTGGAGAGTATCCAGGGGCTGAGCTGGGCTCCACCCACAATGTGGTAGGAGTGGCCCCCAAAAATCAGAGGGCTGAAGAGGCCCGGTCACACAGGCTGCTGGTTAGGGATGTAGGCAGGATCTGATAGTTAGCTCTCAGGCCACCAGAGCAGGGGTCAGGGTGGGTCCCAGCCAGCAGCAAACCTATGGGTCAAAAGCAACTTGAATGCATGAACTGTGAAAGGGAGGAAAACCTGCCCAGTCTTACCCTCCCACGCCAGCCCCTCCGGGACTGGGGGGACTGGGCCCTGCAGGCTGGAATAGAGCAGCCCCTGGCACAGAGAGCGTGGGAGGCCTGAGTGACCCTGACCAGCTCAGGCTTTGGAAGACCACAGGAACCTGAGGAGTGGTGACCCAACAGCCTCTCACCTGGGACACTACTCCTGCTCTCTCCACCTGACCCTGTTCATCCTTTGGCCTCGGGGAGCTGAGTCCATGCGGGCATGTGGCACATGGGTCTCCAGCAGTGCATGTCACACAGAGAGGGCCCACCCCATCCTGGGCCTGCCACCCTCAGACGGCACCCTCGTCACCAAATCGATGCTATGCCCAGCTGGAACAGGATTTTTCTAAACATTGCCAGGATGAAAGGTTTGATTTTCTATTTATCTTTAGAAGTACAGGTATTTGCTGAAACCAGTTTGGCTCAATGGATACAGCGTCGGCTTGGGGACTGAAGGGACCCGGGTTTGATTCCGGTCAAGGGCATGTACCTTGGTTGCAGGCACATCCCCAGTAGGGGGTGTGCAAGAGGCAGCTGATCGATGATTCTCTCTCATCGATGTTTCTAACTCTCTATCTCTCTCCCTTCCACTCTGTACAAAATCAATAAAATATGTATTAAAAAAAAAGTACAGATATTTGGCTAAAAAACTCATCTTTGCCCTGGCTGGTGTAGACAAAAAAAGAGCCACATGCCAACCTCACTAGCTCAGGGAAGACCTGTGAAGCAGTTTTGCAAACTCAAAGACCTAAAGTAACCACAAAGCAAGGTCTGAAATTAAATTTTAACTAAAAGCAGTCATGGTGGGTAATCATGTCCCAGCCCAGTATCTTCACTAACAAAGGGCAATATTTACCTTAACTGAGCCTATTGCCTTTTTGCATCTATAACATATCATTGGAGTGTCAAAGTAATTTCACTTTTTTCGGACCCCTCAAACACAGGCATCACTCAGCGGAGACCATCAATCCCCTCATTGTTATTGTGTTAATTGCTGACTGTTAACTGTCCTGCACCCACCTAAGTAAAGGAAGTATGTATCTATCGTTTTACTTTTTATCCAATCCCAGAGGTTTCCCTGCTTTGCTTTCTCCCACCCCCATCCACTAATCTGTCACCAATGGGTTTATTTTCTCCTTTAACGTTAACGTATAAAACAAGGTAGAGAACTGTCCTTCTCCGGAGATTCCCAATACCTTGAGATTCTGCTTTCTGACAATTGTCGACAGTTTGGCTTAGATAAACTCACAAAAACTCTTTACAGGTGGTGAGTGCTTTTATGCTAACACGGGTGTAGCTCAGGAGTTGAGTGTTGACTCATGAAACAAGAGGTCACCATTTGATTCCCAGTCAGGCACATGCCCAGGTTATAGGCCCTGTCTCCAATAGGAGCATGCAGGAGGCCGCCGATCAATGATTCTCTCATCGAAGTTTCTTTCTCTCCCTCTTCCTTCCTCTCTCTAAAGTCAATTTTTTTAAAATTGAAAAAAAAAAAAATCAAAGGTGGGGACTTTTGAACTCAAAAGTACAAGGTGGGTGGCAGAAAGCACTACCCCCACCCACAGTCCCACTACTGAGGGAGCTGGGGTTCTCCGTACCCTCTGCCCCAGTTGTATGGGTAAGTACGGAGTGTTCCCCATGCCGTTGTCTGGCCAGCAGGCAGTTCTGTCTCACTGAATACCTACTGCCCACTCCCCACATCCCTCCCATGGTCAACCCCAGGCTATTCAGGTTCCAGCCTCACTGTAGTGCACGTCCTGGTCCTGAGGAATGTGTAACCTGTGCAAGGACACTTGGTGGGAGGTTCCTGCAGGTGGGGCCACTGGGTCAAAGAGCACTCAGGTTGGCCACCAATGATAGATCAGGCAGATCACCACCCACAGAGGCTGGGCCCATGAGCTAGCAGGGAGACAGAGCTTCCTCTGAGCAGGGGTGGGGATGTCTGCGTTCAGGTGACTGCCCAGCTGGAGCAAATCCGCCCTCGGTGTTGGACACGGCTCAGCCAACAGCTGGCCTCTGGGAGCCTGCAAGTGAAAATCCCCATCGACCCAACAGTGATGAAGATGCCCACTCCTGGTCACCTCCGCTAAACTCTGGCTCATGCCTAACCCAGAAGCCCCGCCCTGTGCATTCTGAGGAGCTGCTTGGTCCCCAACATATCCTCATGTTCTTGGGGCTCCTGCTGCTCCCCCACCAGAGAAACCCTGCCTTGCTTTTATGAGTCACAGCACTTTACAGCTGTGAAACTTTCTCTCTTTAAATATCTGATTAGAACAACTGAAATACACAACCACCACCCTCAGACCACCTGCGTCTGAATGGACATTCTACAACCAGAGAAGTAAGAAGAAAGGACATCGGAACTGGTAGGAAAGATAGAGGTGCAGGACAGGCTGGTCCGCATGTGGTGGTTTGTTTTTTTAAATTTTTATTGTTGAAAGTATTACAAATGTCCTCCCTCCCCATTGACCCCTTCTAGCCCACCCCTGGCCTTCACCAGCTTGTCTGTGTCCATGGGTTATGCACATATGCATATAAGTTCTTTGGCTGGTCACTTCCCACTCACCTGTCTTCCCTCTGAGAATCCACAGTCTGTTCTATGCTTCTATGTCTTTGGATCTATTTTGTTCACCAGTTTATTTTGTACATTAGATTCCACATATGAGTGAATCATGTGATTCTTGTCTTTCTCTGACCAGCTTATTTCCCTTGGCATAATACTCTCCAGGTCTCTCCATGCTGTCTCAAAGGGTAAGAGATCCTTCGTATACATATCCTATATAATAAAAGCCTAATATGCTAAGTATCTGGTTGGCCAGTTGGCCGTTCAACCAAAGTGTAATATGCTAATGTTATGCTAAGACCATTCAACCACTTGCTATGATGTGCACTGACCACCAGGGGACAGAAATTTGACTGGCTGACAAGTTGCTATTATGGCACTGACCACCAGGGGGCAAGTGCTCTGACTGGAAGGTAGGCTGGCTGCTGGGGTCCGGATGATCGGGACTGAATGAGACAGTCCAGACACGCCCTGGAGCCCTCCTGTGTCCCTCCCCGGCTCCAATTGTGCACTGGTAGGATCCCTCAGCCTGGCCTGTGGCCTCTCTATCCAGCCACTGCGGAATGATCAGTCACTTTGACACGCACTGACCACCAGGGGCAGATGCTCAATGCAGGAGCTGCCCCCTGGTGGTCAGTGCGCTCCCACAGGGAGAGAGCCACTCAGCCAGAAGCTGGACTCACGGCTGGCAAGCGCAGTGGCAGTGATGGAGCCTCTCCTGCCACTGTGGCAGTCAGACATCCCGCAAGGCGCCCAGACTGCAAGAGGGCTCAGGCCCCCAAGTGCACAAATTCATGCACTGGACTCTAGTACATT